TATAGATATACACAAAAAAAAATATATATATATATATATATATATTTGTAAATATTATAAATATTACTATATTATCTGCCTGAAGGTCTTAAAATAAAATGAAATAAAACAAAACAAAATTAGCTAATATTACTATATTATAAGATCAGTATGGGAAAACTGAGCAGGAAGGAAATTTCAAGTCTCTCTCTTGGTGATGACTTGATGAGTATTGGTGGCAGACAAAAATAAATAAATAAATACATTTCATAATAAATATTACTATTAGCTAAATACAAATATAAAAGCAAATGCAATATGTATATTGTAGTATATATGACTGTGAAATTAAATAAAAACTAATGGTGGAGTAAGGGTTGTAGTCTAACTGTCCTTGGATCCCACAATCACTAGCCCCCTAGTGTTGGCATAATCACATAACATGGTAATAACATACTATTTATACAGTATTTATGCTGTGCACAGTATAGACATTTTCATTATGAAATGATGATTAAAATACATCAAAGACAATTTATTTTTCCTACAAAAAAGTACAGTGGTGTGACCGTATCAGACATTATTATTATTATTTGTATTATTATTATTATTGCATAACATGTATAAAAGAGTTGTAATAAAATAAAATCGAAATATTACAGTATATAGTTATACTAGATTAAATAGTTAGATCATTGCTTTGGCAATCAACTGAAATTAAATCTATTTTAAATTGAAGGACTAAAATAACTAAAACTGAAATGAAAAAAAAAAACAATAGCGAAAAATTAAAGCTAAATATATTTGAAAAATGACAAAATCTCATAAAATTATTAAAGCTTAAATGAAATCAGAATGATCGCTGAAAATATGGAAAGTAATTCAGAATAATAATAAATACTGTAATAGTACCGTATTGACCCGAATATAAGACGATGTTTTTTTTCTTGTAAATACATCTGAAAAAACACGTCGTCTTATATTCAGGGTCTAGACTTTGAAATGTCAATAATACACCCACAACAATAGGTGGCGCCAAATATGCATAAAACGAGTGTGCCATGAAATACGTAATGTAATGCGTGTTGTAAAGATCGCGAGTAAAAACAAAAGAAAAAGAAAAGCTTACAGCTGCATGAGTCGTGACTGTCACATTAGCCTGATGGGACCAAACTCCCTGTGATTTTAAAACGTAAGACAGTACCCAGATTTGAAGACTACAGTAAGATTTAACTTCTACTGTTAATATGATTTTGGTAGGCTACTACTAGATGGATAGCCTACATGTCCTAATTCAGATGGGCTACCTGTTTTTGTTTTTTTTAATGGTATATCAAAAAGTGTATATTTTTTAAATGTGATTGTTGGTACATTTTACCAGTTTTTACCATACTTTCAAAACAAAAATTAAAATAGGAAAAATGTGCAATATGAAAAAAATAATTGAAGACAAAATGTGTTTTACTGAGAAAAAACAAGATTTGGTTTTTAAAAAGCCTTTTTCCAAAAGGTGCATCTTGAAAAAGGGGGTCGTCTTATAATCAGGGTCGTCTTATATTCGGGCCAATACGGTATATATACATTATACATAAATGACACAATTTTTCTACATCTTCTACATCTTTCACATATCTCTGTATTTCAGTGCTATGTGTACGCTGCAACCACTCCGTGTTGTGGCTCGCCTGACTAAATGTTTTCCATCATTCTGTCAGAAATATACGATTCTTTTTTGGGTTGTTCTAGTAATACTAGAATAGTAACTGAAGCCTCAGTCTTAATAAATCGTCTTTTTCTTTCTCTCCTCAGAGCTCAACATGGAGTACAATCCTTCGGACCACCCGCGCGCCAGCACCATCTTTCTCAGCAAGTCTCAAACAGACGGTGAGAGAGACTCCGTGTCTTCTGACTCGCAGGATGAGTGGGACGGTCTCCCCTTAAGCCTGGATGCTGGAGGGGAACGTTAATTCAAACGAAACCGCGGTCAGGATTGCTTCAGTCTGATCCAAACGAATCAGGACTTAGTCAGACCAAACATTCCCTCCTCAGAGAAGACTTGTAATAACAGTTTGATTTAACACGATACCCCTGGGCGATGATGCTTTGTTATCTGTCAGCTATTTTTAGCCAGGCTAATCATATGATATTCGCCTTGTTTGAATTGTTAACGTCACGTTTTGTGACTCTGGTCTCTCAGACGTCTTGTGATTCTAGTGACATTATAAAGGGACAATTCAGTGATATAAACAAAATTAGTGGCGTATGAACTGTAAAGTCAAGAATAAGTAAATGCCAGCCTTGTTATCCATGCGCAGATTTAATTTAGAAACCTTTTTGTTTTTCAGTTCTTTTACCCAACAAGAAAGGTACGTTTGAGCTCAGCCTGTTTGTTAGTCTGCTGCTGTGTTGTGTCGAAGCTTTATTGATTCAAAATGTCTGTAGTTTGAATTTATGCTGCAAGCTGTTATTTGTTCAGGAATCTTCTTCGATGCGTTAGCTTGCTAAGCGACAAGCTTTTAACTGCACTGAAGCTACACTTTGTAGTTAGCTATGCTAAAAGCTAACCAAAAGTAGCTAATTGCATTGAAGCTGCTTAATGGGTCAATAGATTAATATCATTAAATAAAATCACAGCTGTATTTTCAGACATTTACACTCAGTTTAGCGCCATTAGGGGGTTATGCATGTTGAAAATGTCTGTGAATCTGTCCCATTTTTCTGGCTGCGCAGCTGTTTGTTTAAATTCATGTACGCCGTTCTGTCTTCTGTAGGTCTCTAGTGCTGTAGTTTAAATTAAGTTATGATATTGATGAAAAATAGTCAAACTGCTAATATGTGAGAATTAACTGAGTCATACAGTAGCTTTCATATTTGTGTGTGCGCATGAGGGGCGTCAGACTCCAGGGACTCTGATAAAATGTCTATCTCACATGACCACACACACAATGCCTCTTCATTTTCACCTGCAGTCTCAGTTTGTTTTCTGGGTCAGGCTTTTAACACATCACCTGTTAGTCAAAGTAACTGGCCCCGCCCACAGATACAGTAGAGATAGGTAAATATGAAATGCAGTTTAATCATTGTGGTACGGTGAATCATTTGGGCGCTAATGGAAATTATCTTATGGGTAAGATGTCTCAGAGGTCTCTTCTGTTGCATTCAAGCAATTATACGAACTACCAGACTAGGGGTGTGCGATATTGACAAAAAATATTAACCCGATATTTTCTGGGATTTTATCGATAACGATAATTAGACGATATGTTGCTGAGTGTGTTATTGTGCTGGTCTCTTAAACTTTAAATGTTAAATTAAAACCACCAGTGGCAGCAAGTCACTGTTAATTAGTGAGTCATTGCGATTGAACCGAATCATTTAAACGATTGATTCATTCAGGAACGAAACACCGTCATGTTGCTCAGAGATGCAAAACAGCACTGTAGCTGTGTTTGGAATTATTTTTGTCATCGAAATAGAGCAAAAATAAGCAATATGGTGTCTAAAATGCAAGTCTCTTAATTAACTTCTTGTAATTTGAACTGAACATTTGTAATCATGGTAATTTTTACCGCACTCTGTGTGATACTGATTAACTATATGACATTATATAAATATATACATTTTCTGTCCCCATATCTTGAATTTTGTGATCATTCTAAATGCATTTATTAGACTGAATCATGCTGTAGGGGTGTTTTGAAAGGTCTCTGCAAAATACTCAATAATGTCAAATCACACATCGTTAAAACAATAATTACGATATTATCGCAGACGATATATATCGCACACCCCTATACCAGACACAACTAAACAACATCAAAGAAAAAAGTTGTGCTTGAACACACAGCAAATAGCGTTGGGTACTGTTCACACTGTAAACGAAATTTCGAAAAACCGAAAACTGAAATTAATTTATTTCAGTGGGGAAAAAAAAACTGTCCAAACCTTTCAATTTCAGCTTTTTCTTATTTAGAAATTTTACACACTAGACAAAATAATGCTAATGTCAAAAATAATAATATTCTGAAAGTTCACTGGGTTTAGTATGAGTATTTGATTATTTTATAGTGTGGGTTTGATGCAGTGTGCTAAAAACAAACAGTCTTCCAA